AGAAGGTTTAGTTAATCTAACAGAGTCTACCAGCCTTGTCCCAAACTCATTTGCAGGGAGTCACACTGTTCGCTCACAACAATCCACTCCCCAAAGAAGTTTGGATGGATAAATTCAGACCAGTGTAAAAGTTGCTCAGGCATAACTTGCTGACGGCCTCTGTAAATAACAAGTCTCATAACTGCAGGCATGGTGGGATATGTCCTGGTGACTGTGTCTGCCCTGTAGTTTATGTGACTATAAAGTGGCTCGCTGTACCTTGTCAAAAAGCAATGAACTCGGACAAAGATTTCCAATGTTTTCGCTCCAAACTATCCCGCTCCCTTTCATTAACCTTCACTGATGGAAAGCCAAGAAAGAAGTGCACATGTGAAAATTTAGTGGAGAGAAACACAGAAAGGTCCACTCTTTTTTCCTTTTTTTTTTTTTTTTTTTTGCTTGTTGGAGTGACCAATCAGACAGGCAGAAGTGAGATTCTCTTGTCGGAGTGCAGTTGACACGGTCCAACTGAACTGTGAGAGCCTTTTGTTCAGGCAAGCGTGAAATTATGAAACATGACAGTGGAGATGCCAAACATGGCCGCATCCTCTCAGAATGCAGAAAGGATCAGGGATCCTCCGCAGCTCAGAGTAACACTGATGAAGTCTTGACTGAGGTGGTGGGACCTCAAAGGGGGGAAGGTGTTCTGCTACAGTACATTCATCTTTGAAACATTGAGCAGGTTAAACCTTTCACTTTAATAATACACTTCTAAAGTTCAATTCTATAAAATTAAATGTTAACATCTGCTGGACAGAATCTGACTGGTGAGAAGTCTGATATTTGTAATTTTACATATTTACAAAAAAAAAAAAAAACTGTGAAAATGTGTATAATTTTTTTCAAAAAAGATCAAAAAGCTTATTCACTTCCAATCCATTCTGATGTACCCAACTTCCACGCCCCTCATTTCAAATGTATGATCCTATTTTACCACAATGATTTGTGAATACTATGGATATTTTGTGTCAAGTCTATTGCTTAAAAATCAGGAGTGTAGCTTACAAGATGTTTTTTTTTTTTTTCTTGAACACTAAATATGCATATTTGAATGATATTTGAAGGATCAATGTAAAACTGAAGAATGGAGTAATGATGCTGACATTTCAGCTTCACAATCACAGGTGTAAATTACATTTTAATATGTAAAAATATGTTTTTTAAAAAAAGAAAAAAAATGAACATACAATAATTAGATATGTGTGTATTCTGGTATGCGAGATTTGTCACATGGCCAGAAGTTTATAGGAATCTCCTTGGTATGTCATAGGTTAAAGGGGAACTTGGCAACTTTTTCAACTTAATGAAACCATTTAGACATCATTTGGATAGTTAAATAACCAGTTCTGGTAAAAAAAAAAAAAAAAAATGGTGCCTTAACTCCCTCCAGCATTCCCAGGCAAAAACCAACCTTGCAACATGGGGACTAACATCTCGGTAAGTTGGAAATCCTCTCGTGAGAAGCGGGACCAAATTAGCATAGAAATGGCTAGATTTGCCAAGTTCCGCTTTAAATCACAAGTGTAATGAATGTAACACACCATTTTCTGGTCATCTTTGTTTAAACCTATTTTATTTTCCCTTATAAGCTCACTCAATTTGTAGAGAGAAAAACTCTTACTATGTTCCAGGGTATGGGTTTTTTTATTATTATCATCATCATATTATTATTATTATTATTATTATTATTATTATTTAGTATATGTAATAGGCATCTGTCTTAAAAGGGTTAGTTCAGGATTATTCTCTTCCAGTTCTGTAGTCAATCCGTGTTCAGTAATGCTGATGACCTAAGATGCTGCTGACGTGTTATCAGTGCGCCCGAGCTTCATTTACAGTCTGAGGGAGAAGCATACTGTAAACAAAACAATCTTCGCAATTTCGCAAACATGTCTAATGATTTTGACACAGAGAAAGACTTTTTTTGCCCAGCCATATTTATTTGAACCCAAATACACGGACGCACCAGATAACACATCAGCAGTGTCTTACGTCATCAGAGTTAAAAAACAGAATGCAAGAATGTGTTTTATGTGCAGACCTCAAACGCTGTTCTATATTTCTCTACACATTCTCTATTTATTTGTATGTGAATAAACTAAAATCAAGCAATCACCATGAAACATAATTTGCTCTTAAGGTCTGTTGCATTGGGGACTTTTTATTCAAATGGGTATGAAATTCATGAACTGAAATCGGCTGTCAGATGTCACTTGCACCAGTGCATCCAAATATTTTTCCAGATTCATGCACAGTAATTTTCACTTGCAAATACAAGTGTAATGCTCACACTGTAAAGCCCTGCCCGAAAAGAATTCAAACTCAGGTCATCCTGCACTGCTACAGTACAACATATTGTATCATATCATACAGTAAAACAAAGTATCATAATACCACAGTTTTATACATATTCCTGTTTTACATTCCTAAAAACACATTTACTAGGGCTGGGTAATAAATATCGATTTCTCGATATTAATCGATTCTCATTTTTACAAACCGATATCGATTCTTAAATCTCAAGAATCGATTAGTCATCCTGTTTCGTTTGAATGAATGAGACATTGTATCGCGGCTGCGCGCATCCAACAAATCGCAATAATCTTTGTCCTTTGTTACTATTGATATGAAACAAAGTCTCAATTTTCACATTACGTCCATTTTCTTTAGAAATTCAAAAACATAAATAGCGTTTTGCCGTTTTGGCGCTGTGGCGTGAGATCGCTCTGGCGCAGCTCCAGAGAAGCAGCAGCGCTGATCTCTCTTCCGGGTTAATAATACCAGCTACAGCGCGAAATAAACATGAATGAGCATCTGAAAGTGTATTAAAAGATAGAGTACAACTTATCTAAATCCCTTTCATGTCACATTGATTCGCTCAAACTGCGTTTCATCCGTGGAAAGACGTCAATTAAACAGCTTGTAATCAATGTCATGTATCGTCATATTATTTACCTCAGAAAACCCACATTAACTCGTTAGTCCACACTCGTTAGTGTTCTTCAATATTTAATGCATATTTGAATAAATCTGGCAAGTTTTTATGACAGCCACCATTTAAATGTTTATATTTCATATAATCTTCTTATTATAAAAATAAATAAAAGTATAATTTAAGTGTTTGTATAGCTATAAAACAGTTAATTATTACCTTCATATTAGGCTAATGAAGCCTAGTAGGCTACAACTAGACTATATATATAGACCATAGTTTACAGCATTTAAGAGATTTGATTCCCTTGAGAAAATTTGCCATTTATTGTAACTGATATCCAAAATAATCGATATTGAATCGAATCGAATCGTAATCGAAATCGAATCGAATTGCAAGCTTGTGAATCGAAATCGAATTGTGAAATTTGTCTCAATACCCAGCCCTAACATTTACCGTACTATAGCATCAAATATTATTATTCTATTGGCGAAGTGACCAAGATGTCCACACTTCTAGTCATACTAGACCATCACAAAATGGCTTAGAGGACTCTTCATGAGCTACTATGCTTTATAAGCGGGGTGCGGAAGATTCAAGCATCTAACTAGACGCGACGTGTTTGACGTGTTCGGTGACCAATTCGGACGGCGCGTTCTCCCCCACGGATAGATTATTGGCCTACTTTATTAGCGAGTTGTTTTTGGATAAAACAAATTACTTTGCATGTTTACAAATTCGTATATTCTCTATATCTAATATCTATACATGGATCGCGGGAAAGGGGGCCTTGGGCGCGGGTAAGCCTACTTTTGGGAAAGTTACATAAATATTACATTCAAAAACACATTGCCTACAACTCCGTGTGCACGATTTATCATTAAATAATGGCAATCTTGATTCTAGCACAATATTATTCCTAAATGACAGCGACAATTCAGTAAATGAAACCTTCAAAATTATTATCAAAATAAGTAAATACCCTTTAAACAAAAGTTTAGCTTCAAATAACGATTGTAGATCTATACTGTTTTCCAGTAGTTACTGTTAAAATGTTTTTGAAGAGATTCGTTCAAAACCTCTGGACAAAAGTCACTAATTAACTTCTGTTTTGTTTAAATTGATAGATATTAATAGACTAATTTTTATATTTATAGGCATTTGATAATGGACTTTGTTACATTTAATTTTTTTTGTATTGATTTTTGAAAAAAATAAATATATAGGCCTATATATCTTCTGCCCACCAAGCCTTCATTTCTTTGATCCAAGAAAACACTGTAATATTATGACCATATTATTATTATTATTTTAACAACTATTTTCTATTTTAATATATTTTAAGATGCAATTTAAAAGTTTTGGGTAAAAAATAAATAACAAAGTGAAATGCTTTATTGTGTGTGATTTGCATGTTTAATTTATTTCAAGACATGTAAGCTGAAGATCTAAAATAAGTTAAAATGGTTGGTTCAACTGATTTAATTGTCTTATTTTTATATATAAATGAGCTTAAATGTTGAGCTTAAATGTTAAGTTAACAGAACTAAGATTTGTTTTGATCTCACATGGCCTGCACTGTGTTGGATTTACTGTTGGATTTAAGATATATGCACCATTTTTGCGTCATATTTTTTAAGTAATCCGTAATCATTTAATTAAGTAAATTTTTAACTTGGAATAATTTTACATAAAATAAACTTAAATATTTTAGTTCACGTGACATTCTTTACTTAAAAATATATGTAACATGATGCATACTTTTTAAAGTAAAGAATGTTGTGTGAACTCAAATAATTAAGTAAATATAACAAAGATATTCTTGTTAATTTTAAGTAAAATTATTCCAAGTTGGGATTACTTAAAAAGTATGATGCAAAAATGGTGCATATATACACTGTAAAAAATGATTTTTTGACCTTGTAAATAAAGGTAGCATGATTTAAGTAAATTTTACAAACAAATCATATTTATTCTTTTTACTTAAAAATGTCACGTTTAATTCAATATGGTACTTGAAGCTTCTTTTTAATTTATTGTGCTTAAATACATAAATAAATTCAACTGGAACTGCCCAAGTAATATTTACTAGTGTTTTGTCATCTAATGAACTAATGCAAAAAAATGACGAACGCAAGTAAAACTTACTCCAAGAAGCCAGGCAATCCAAGCGCATGCGCATTGATTTCTTGGTACAGAATCAGATTCAGAAGTGGCGCGAAGAAGAAAGCAACGGGAACTTTTCTTGAAGACTGATGTGATTTTTACACGGTAAGTTATGAAATATTTGTTTATTTGGTCGATTTAGTTACATTTGCAGAACCTATCTGCAGCTGGTGGTTAGTAAAGCGTTAAGTTAACTGTTAACATAGCCTAGTTGACAGAGTTGAGTTTTTGCATAACTTAAACATCCGTTATTAGCAAACGCCATCTCTGTGTCGAAAACAATTGTCTTGTATTTTACATATAGGTTGTTAATAAACACGTTAATATACGGAGACGTTTGATGTAGGCTACAGTGAATTTTAAAATGAACTTTGCCCCCGCGTCGAGACAAATAGCGTCCAAGGGTGTGTGTTTATTCATCTGTGTGAATAAATAATCGTGACCTTGCGTGTTATCAGAATTATAAATGAAAGTTTAAATTAAAATTGGACATGATGTAATTTAGGCCTGCAGCCTTGGAAGTCGCGGTTAACGTTACGAGCCTGGAATGATAACTCACCCGTGCCCAGCATGAAATTAACTTTAAATGTGACGGAGAACTGTTAATCCCCCATTAATTCACATCAATAGACTGCTTTGTTTTATCGATAAAATAGATAAGCATATGATGATAATCAAGTTAAAGAAGAGATTATATTGAACCTATAACGTTACAATTAACAATGCTGTCTTGAACATTTTTGATGCTTAGGCTAACGTTACTTGAATGCAGTTGTTCCAAAACAAATAACTGTTCATATTTCAAATCGATAAGATCAGTATATTTATTCAAAATTGGTGAAACATATATTTCTGACATTAACATTTCTAATGTTTTCACAGATTGCACTCACTATTCAAGCTCCATGCAAGGTAAGTTGGCAATAAATCTTACACCCTACAACACTGATTAACCTTGCAGTATGACACAGATTTCAATAGATTTTTTGGCTATAGCCACACACATATACATGGTTTGTGTGTGTGTGTGTGTATATATATATATATATATACAGTATATCACTTCAAAAGATACAGTAAACACAGGTCTAGCAGCACTACATATTCATATGTTTCATATTTTAAAATTGAAACATATGTTAAAATACATAATTAAATCTTAAAGGGATAGTTCACTTTGAAATTAATTTTTGATATGTTTTAGCTTACCTCAAGGCAGGGCATCCAAGATGTAGGTGTCTTTGTTTACACAGTATTTTCAATTTTGCCATTTTTCGGTCAAACCGGTGTTGTCTGTCAGTCATATAATAGAGGTATAGGGGGTCCACCTCAAAGAGCATGCACAGAGAATGTAAGTACACATTGGACACGAAACGAGCGGTTTGTGTGAGATAACGAACAGTATTTATATAGTTTTTACCTCTTGTAACCACAGCCACAAAGCGCCCGCGCCTTCAGATCACTTGGACGTGGCTGTGGTTACAAGAGGTAAAAAAATTATAGAAATACTGTTCATTTTCTCACACAAACCGCTCGTTTCGTGTCTTAGGCCATCAGTGTGTACTTACATTTACGAGTAATTAAATCATGTTTAATTTGGACTTCTCTGTGCATGCTCTTTGACGTGGTGACTTTAAATCCTCCATTATATGACATAAATATCAAAATTGAAAATACTGTGGAAACAAAGACACCTACACCTTGGATGCCCTTGAAGTAAGATAAAACATATCAAAAATTAATTTCAAAGTGAACTATCCCTTTAACCTCCACTGTAATGAAGGGTGAATGAAGGGTGGGGATGCTGGCATAAAAATTCGAAGTTTACTAGATTCACTCTGCCAGGTAAATTTATATATTGCACATCTGATATCCTGCTGCTTGCTGATTTTATAGATATGCAGTTGTATGTAGATGGAAGTGTACACTGTTCATGTTTGCTCTTACTTTTGTTTTTAAAAGCAAATTGAAGATAAGAGAGATGCTGTGATTCGCTGCCTTCTTTCCTACCTTGGAGAGTCATCTGAAGAACTCATTGAAGTCTACCAGGTACATTAATGCATAAATTAAAATTGTTTTGATTTTATAGATGTACAGTCCTGCAAAAGTCTAAGGCACATTACTATTTTCATGCCCATAATTTTTTTTTCTTTTATATCTTTGTGCTGTAGTTTGTCAACTCAAAAGGTTCTACATAGCATGAACATGGTTATTTAGCATGTAATCACAGGAGAAGCACTTTAAGTCCTATATAGCACCAAATCTTGGTGCTTCAGTGGTCATTTTAATACCCCCTTTTCAACAGAATGAACCGGGTATTAGTTCAGAGCTAGTGCTTTTGCCGGTTTGGAGAGGGAACGACTGACAAGCTTTCGATGAACTGGTTTGCCTTTCCACAGGCTAGAGCCACCACAGAGCCAGGTCTTACGTCACCGTCATCATCTTTCCCAACAACGCTAGCACGACAGCGACAAACACACCAAGCTTGTTCAGTTATGAAAGCATTTTAAAGGCTATGCCACTTTAGATTTTTTACACAAGTGCCTTAACCTTGTTACAGTACTGTAGCTTCGTAGGTAGTTTAGGTGTCTTGCAGACAGTTCCTCTGTACTTTGTCTGTCTTGATTTAATGATGGTGAGACCAAATCTGTATGGGGCACTTATCACATAAAATTAAAGAGAACATGCAACTTGGTGTACATTATTGTAATCATTTTGCTCTTATTTGTGTTTTTGACAGGATGTAAGCAGAGACATGATTAAAGATAACATCACCAATCATGTTATGAAGATCATTGTACTGGGCAACACTGCAGGCCAACATCGCTGATGTCATCGTCGTCATTGAGGGAACTGAGGTGCTGTTGGGATGTAAGAATCTCACAAATGCGTGCCTTCTGCTCATGGGCTTCATTTACGCCCTGAACTTAAGCTATCCACCAAAGCTGAGAAATACATTTGAAGTCTTTCAAAAAATCTTTCTTGGGCTGGATGCTTTAAAGTTTTCTCCAAAAGTTAGCTCTTTGCATAGAAAACAGAAGCAGAGTTTTATTTCAATGCTGTATGTGAGATCAGTTAAGCATCTTGCATAAAATGTTTGGTCTGTTATGACCTACACAAAGACATTAAAACATCTGTGATGGTTTAAAGATGCTGAACAATTTTGGTCGTATTTTTTGGCCAATAGCAGATAATCTTGATGTGTCCATTTCTTTTTTGTGCACTTGTTTTTCGAGAATTTAATTAAAATAAAACTGTAAAACAGAAAAAAATGTCTTGTTTTTTTTTATTATTATTATTGAAAATATAATTTGTATTACTAATGGTAAGTAATGTTTACGTAATATTGAAAGTAAAGGTTACTCAAGATAAATAAAAAAAATATAACTAGGACTCTCATGTAAATTTCACAAAAAAAAACTCAATACATTTATAAGCTTTACTTAAGTAAAATTTACAGACAAAGAGTCAATAAAACTTATTTGGAAAACCCAAGTAAATTTAACTTAAACATTTCTAATTAAGGCTGCTAGTAAATGTTTGTAAATTTTACTAGCCTTTTCTGAGTGAGATTTGTTAGCAAGGTTTTTTCAAGTAAATTCTACTCCAAATTTTTTACAGTGTATTTTAAGTAAATTCAACACATCATTTTTTAAAGTGTAAGTTCCAGCTCTTATTTTAAAATGCTGCCCGGGCAGTGCAGTTTGGCCACAGATGGCACAGATGCCTTTCACCCCTTACAGCACCAGAGTGAGCTCAAGACTATCTGAATCTGGCTTATAATGACCAGCATTGTTTCTGCTGCCACAGAACCCACAGGCCTGAGATAATCAACCATGCCAAGTGTTCCAGGAATTAGCAGGAGAGTTCGCAAATGGCATGCTAGCACTGCGTCTGCCTTCAGCGCAATCCTGTGTGGCACATGCTGAAGAAAACTACAGCCAAACAATTAGAGCCTTAGACCTCTGCACTATTACTGAAAGTGTGGAGATATGGAGAAAAACGGAGAGGGAGAGGAAAGTCAAGGAAACAGTGATCCACAATTTTCAGTCAATAATGTCACATCCTTAAGTAAAATTAGGAAATTGTCCTACTTTTACAATAATACTAAAGATAAATCAAGGACGAAGAAAAACAACTGATTACCCATTAAAACGATATTTTGATTTGATTTTCGAAGCATAGCTTGATTGATAAAAAATGAGGAAACAAATGGACATTTCCTAATACATATTTCTTGTACATGGCAAAAACTGACACATCGGCTCAAACCAAAAATTGTAATTTATAACAGAAATAAATTACAATTTGCATAACAGAAATGACTTATAAACAGCTTTGAAACTAAGATTTAGTCTAGATTCAGGTAACCCAGAAGATGTACAGTACATATTCCCTGTGTGACTGCTGTAGAGAGAGAGATTCAGAATGTCAGAAGTGCAATTTCTTAAATAGTCAGCCATAAGGATTACATCCATCTAGAACTGATGTGACTAGATCAGACTGCATTGTATAATTTGATTGACCTTTATTGCCAACAAAAGAAAACAAATGCTAGAGTTTTATGCTGGCTATCAATCTTAGGAGGAGTTGTATAATGCATCTTCCTCTAACAGGCATTCCTGCAGTGAGCTACAGCCGGACTATTCCATCACTCCAGCTGTGGGGCCTGACAAAGGGCAATCTTGGACCCCCTGCTCTGATCACAATTAGCATTCACTTGATTAATGACTGCAGTGCTAGGAAAGGAGAGTTTGATCAATCGGCATGATATCGTCTCTTCTGTATTCTACTGGGAAGCAGTAATGGATGAACACACACACACAGGGCTAAATTAAATACAAATGTTGAGAGAAATCAATCTGATGGTAGAGTTCAACAAAAAGCTTTGTGTATTGAATATATTTGTCAAGGCAATAAAACATTTTATAAATAATCAATAAATGGGATGTTTACATTGTAAAATGTTTGTACTGACAATATACTGTAGTCATGCAAATTTTCATGAAAACTTTTATTTCTAAATAAAAAAAAAATGGTAAAAAGCAAACCTTAGCATTCTAGTATTGTCATGATTCCTGTCGTGTGTTCCCCTGGTCATGTGTGGACTTTTATGTCATTTCCTGTTCTGCGCCATGTTTTGTAGTCCTTTGTAGTTTATTTCTTGTTGATTAGTTCTTGAATTGTTAACAGATGTCTTGTTTGCCAAATACCCCTTGTGTATTTAAACCACATTCTTTGCTTGGCATTGTTTTAGTTGGATGTTTCGTTAAGGTTCTCAGTTCTGCTCCCTTTTTATTTTCATGTTTATTTTGGTTTAAAATAAGGTTGTTGTTATTAAAATAATGTTCTCCTGCACAGTGATCATTCTCTCTACATTACAAGTATAATAGTTAATTAATATTATTCAGCGCTGAAACAGTTGAAGCAAATGTGCCGTATTGTGTCGAGGCTTCGAAACAATCTTGACACCTGTCTCCATGGTGACCCCTAGTGGTCAGAACAGTGTAAATGCAATAAAAACCCAGGCCAAACATGCATAAAAAAACCCTTTTACAAATCCATTGCAAATGTTTTATTGAAAGTAAAATCTTTCAAATGCAATTATCTAATAAGTTTATCAAGTGTATATATGTGTTCTTTTATCAATTGTCAGGGTTTGTTTTGTTAGTTCTATGAATGGCTAAACAGCTAAACAGGCCAATAAGACTATGAACTACCATTATTCATTTTAATGATACTAATGTCTAATTAAATAGTCTACAAATGTATCAAACTGATCAAAGATCAGGTAAAACCAACAGAGAATTGTTCAATGGTTCTCTAACGAGAGGTTCTCTCGTATTACGCAAGTTGGTTACGCTTCGGGTAAAGTCATCTTTTCTTAAGATCTAAAGCCAAAAAAATATCTTTAACCCTCTGGGGTCTGATGTGTTTTCTGAGCCCTGGAGGTGTTCTGACATGCTCTGATTTTTTTTTTTTTTTTTTTTCTCTGATACTTGTGACATTTTCGATTACACTGTATTCAGCACAAATTTTGCTACAGTAATATGTCAGCAGCATGTATGTGAAAGTTTTTTTTTTTTTAGATAATGATAAAAAATACTAATAATAATTAAATAACACTCATGAACATGCTAATATCAAGAGAAAATCTAGGGCTGCACAATTTTGTGAATTCATTTTAGATTGTTCTGTTCTAAATTTTAAATGTATTTTCTTTATTTTCTAATTTTCTTTTTATTAATTTAGTTAATAAACAAATTATATAAAACTTTTATCAGTGCACTATAAATAAACTGGTTATATGCCTTTATTAATAAAACTTATTTAAAATATACAAGGCTTAAGACAGTTATAAAAATGTCTTCTATATTTCTGTTTTGCTTTTCAATCCATTTTACTGAACCGTGATGCATGAACTGAACCGTGACTTCTGTGTACTGTTCCACCCCTAGTATTGTCGTCATACAATGAATTACGTTAAACTATGGTAAAAGTGGTACGGCCAGACCTGCAGGTCAGCTGAATGTTTTCCTAAACGATAAACAAACAATTGTTTTACTCGAGGGGAGGTGGAAAATGAGCTTAATTCCCCAAATGGTGGAATATATCTGTAGTTATCTAGTCTTATCGTTAGCCGGGTGCTCTGCCCTGACTTCTAATGATACAGTGCATGTGTAAGATACAAACTTTCCGGTATTCCGGATATATGCGACCAAAACCCATGTCCCGCCGCACCGCACCGCGCCACCGTCACCTTTTTTAATCTGAGAAGTTTGCAGGTCTGTTTGAGAGTTTAGACTTATGTTTATATTTTAATTATTTGAGTTTTCCATGGTTGTGTTGACATTTCTGTCTTGAGATTATAAACAGAGGAAGGTTAAGTTTAAAATAAAAATGTTTAAAATGTAATATATTTTTTACCTGGTAAAAAATTTAATTTTTAAAATTTTAAATGGGTCATAAAAAATTGTAAATATTGATGGTATTTACCATGTACCATGGATCACAGGAGGGATGGGATGTTGGTCAGCCAGCAAATAACCCACCCACACAAGCAGTGGCAATGCCTCTGGCAGGTTCTCTCAGGTGAACAGAAAGGGTGAACAGAAAGGGAAACTGCATAACAGGCACTCTATGGATAGTAACCATGGCAATGGCTTCTGTGCGTTAAGCAGCTGTAGCCTTTTAACTTAAATTAAAATTATACATAACTATACCTGATAGGCCATTACTTTACACACAGCGAGCCGAGGATCAGTCTCTCTTCCAATGATTTGTGCTGTGCGTCGTGTACAAAAAGATAGAGACAATTCAACTTTGGCGGCGGGCGTTGGTGTGTGTGTGAGGCGAGCATGACCGCAACCGTTTTACAGGAAAGCACGCGCTTGTCGTGGCACCTTGTGCTCGACCACTTCACCTTAATCTATACCTCTACTCTACAGACTATGTGTTGGTTTTCATTTAAACTTTTGCGTCTTTGACGTGCAATTACACATGCACAGGGAACATGTGAAACCCGGGGAGCAGTTCTAGCAATCACAATTATGTGTAGCCTACCGCAAGCTCCAACACGTTGTTACATTTTTGGAGAGGAGCACGTCAGGGTACGCCGAAGGTTACGCGTGCTAAACACAGCCTACAAAGTAGCTACGGCGTGAGTTTGACCTAGAAGTATAAATTGGGCTTTACCTCTGTTTAATGTAATCTTAGTGTACATTGGGAAACTATTGCATGACCAAACCTAAGGTACTATCTCAGAATTAATGTTGGTCGACTTATATCTGTAGTGGTCATGACCTCTGACTGCATAGACTGTTTCTCCTGCTCCCTGATAAAAGATACCTGTTGACACCCGTTAAAAAAAAAGAAAGAAAAATGGATTCTAGTATTTGATTTGATTACATTAGAATTTCTTCTTATTCATTCATGAGCTGGATGAGAAGAGCTCTTTTCCTAACTCCAACACCGATTTGTGCAGCGCAACGGATCTCTCCCTTTGCGCTGCTAAATTCGTTGCCCAGGCCCTGTCCTCTCTGACTTTCACAAAAAGGCACCTCTGGCTGACACTCACTGACATGAGATCTGAGTGGGCTGTTTTCCTGGACCGCTTCTCGGATGTACAAAAGACCACGCAGGCTATGAATCTTTAGATTCTAAGATTAAAACCTGAGCCCGCGAAATTCTCCTAGCAGCTCAAAGGAGGAAGAGACGGTTAAGCCCCGCCGCGGCCGGACCACCATCAAAGCTTTCCGCT